TTCACGCAAATCTGATAGAAAGATCAGCGAATGGTCCAGAAACTAAATTAATTGTGAATTAGAATGAAGATTATGCTTACTAGAAGACATGGTAAGAGAATGGGAGGGAGGAGTGAGAAGGACCCATCGTTTTTGAGGTGATTTGGATCGTCAATATATAGTGATACGCGCTAACACACATATCTATTATGGCAGTGTTTTGACCGCCAAAGATGAGGTATCGTGGAACAAGAATCAGCTAATCGCCTCCCAAGAATATCTGCAGAGTAGCACGGCGAGTAGCGTGACCGGCGGAGGGGTACGATTTCTCTCCTTCAGCTTGGGACTAGGTCTTCTAATCAAGCCGAACAGCTCGCCTTGGAAGGGTCTCTTAAAAACTTTGATCCTATTTCTCGCACTCTAAGTAAGCTGGCAGTTCTCAGCAAGATAATGAAACTAACCCTGCTTACTCGCACAGCTGTTGAATGGAGTGGTCTTAAAGTAGATCCAGACAACCCAGAGGCCGACGCTGTTCCATTCGTCAATACGACTGGACTCTCAAACGCTTTCCCTATTGAGATTTACAGAGAAATTGCAACGACTATATGGATCCCGGACCCTCCATATAACCCAGAGGACCCCACTTCGTTGCTCTACTATCGAATAGCAAATCTCTCGACCCCTGCTATTGCGGTTATTGGATGGACCGAAGATGACTCTTTCGACACGGAGATCTCATTTAAACAAGCTCAGGATACAAGTGTGATCACAAGGTTGCCTTTATTTGCATATCCTTTTGACGAGGTAAGCGACATCTCCACACTCGCAATCAAATCAGATTTGTTAATGAGTCATTTTCTCTCAACCAACCGATCTAGTGGAAAGGAAGCATCTCATTTACTTTCAATGCCATCTGGGCTGGGAAAGGGACTAACCAAACCAAACATTATGTCGGGGCACCTTTGGGGGCTAGACTAACGGATCATGCCCGTAAGTTGGCCGTACTCCAATGACATTATTGACTAATGATATGTCATTCAGTTAATTGGAGATTTACTCTAGGACAGGAATTGAATTGCCTTGATCCAGTTAAATATATCCCGGAAATCCTGCAATATTTCAGCCTT